AAAGAGCCATCTCCTCTGGGGACCCCTGTAAGAGGCACCCAGAGATCTCAGCTGGAAAAAAGTGAAAATGCCCACAACCCATTGTAAGCCTCCTGTCAAAGGGAAGGAAACAGTGAGTGCCATTCTTCCCCACAGCTCTGCAGAAAAGTCTTCAAACCTTCCCTGCTCTGGTGCAATGGGCTGATCCAGAGGAAACAAAGAGAGCAGATTGCTGTGGGTTAATGGGCCCACAGCCAGCACCAAGGAGCAGTGCTGCTGCTCCATGGGCAAACCAGCTCCAAACAACATTTGCCAAGGCTTTCCTGACTCATCCCTGGAGACTGCCTTGAAGCCTGCCCAATCACAACATCAGGGAACGCTGCTGTCCAGAACATTCCTGCGTGCTAATGTACATGAGCTTCACACTTGCAGTGCTACCCTAACTCTTGTTCTTATTAATTCTGACATCCTTCTTGGTCATTTTCCCCTCCCAGTTTGACCATGTTTAGTTCTTTTTAATCTTTCTGTGTAGACCAATCCTTCCCAGTGCTATGAATAAATAAAAGCCTTCTGTTCTCATCAACAAAATGGTCTTTTAACAGTTGCAAGAACAACATAGCAATCACTTAGAAAAAAAACCAAAACAAAAGCAGCTAATATTTGATGCATTTAAAAATATCTGCTCCAGCTATTTTCTACATTTTAGAAATAACTCCTTCACTAAACAGAGAAAGCAGTGAAAAATTAATGGAGAGAAGAAGCACCAGTGGGTGTCTGAGAGGGACCTGCTAACCCATCAGAAATGCTCACCACACACAAAGCAGCAGCAGCAGGGCTGCCAGAGCAAGCTGAACTTCAGTTAGAAACATCTAAGGAATGTGAATAAGCTGTTAGAGCTGCAACCTTCCCCTCTGCTTTGATCTGACATTAAACATAACTCGAGAGTGGGAAACTCAACAGCTTCAAAAAGGGTGAAAGGGTCAAAGGTCTTCATGTACCAGGACAGGTAGAGGGTTTATTCCTCCTGCAGAAAGGAGGATGAAAGTGAATCTGGTGACTAGGAACTGCCACCAGGTTAGGGCTGAGAATTTCATCCTCCTCATCCTTATGTAAAACAGACACAATACCCCTAAGTAGCACGAGCAAGTACAAGTGAAAAAGAGAGCTAATTTCAACTATGATTAAAAAGTGTAAGAAAAAAGTAAACAAATTTTTGTGGTCCCTGTATCTTGCAAATGTGTTTCTGACTGCTATTAGTTGACATGTACTTTTGAAGGTGAAATTGTGGTTTTTCTGGGCTCTGGCCACGTAATGCAACCATAGTGCATTAGATCTCAGCAAATGAGATGTTACAGGAAGAGAGACGAGGATGGCTGGAACATCATGTGCTTCACCAACTCAAAATGCTTGGTATGAGAAAACAAAGCCACATTCTCTAGCCTTGATTCTTGTTTTCCTTGGCTCTCAGCTTTACAGATCCCTAAAATTACTGTGTTAAAACTAAAGGAGCTGCAATCTGCAGCTGACTGAAGAACTGCAATATCACTCCACTTTGATGAATCCCCCACAGTTATTCTTTCTGAGAGCTTTCCTAAATTGATGTCCAATAACCTAATATGTTTGTATCTTTCTTCTGTCATCAGAATCTTGACATAATAAAATAATAGTAGTACAGAAATTAAGTTGAAAAAGTGAGATTTTGTTTCAAAATACTTAAACTTGCAGAAATAGCCAGGTGATCCCAGCAGCCTTAATTGTGCTATCATGAAGCTGCATGCCAAGCAAAACCAGAAATCATGGGAAACAGTTACCTGCCTGTTAAAAACACCTTATAAGAGACCACAGGAAAAAAATTGCTTGTGTTACACAGAAATTCCATTTTCCTCTTTCACAGGGCTGATATAAACCAAAGCCATCTAATAATATTAGATGTAAGGTAAGGTTAAGAGGTCTTCTGGAATTCAATTTCCACCGTCACCATGGAAAATTTCTAATACATATCTATGAGGTCCAGCAGTCTTGTGATTACAATGAAATATCCCAAAGAGTAAATGTTCAAATCTTCACATACTGAGAAAAGTGAGCCAGAGGTACCTTACACTAAGGGGCAATACTAAGACCCAAATTGGAGTGCACAGTGTCTGTTACTCTGTGAAGCACCTTTTTGGTCAAGCCTTGCATAAAAGGAAACACTGATGCAGAGCAGCCTTTGGCAAGATTTAGAGCCCATGTGTGAGCTCCTACAGAGTCAGCAATAAAAATGGAAATTATTTTTCCTTCTTTTGACTGAAGGATAGACACAACATAAATCAATCAAGTCACACATACGCCAACCCTGGTAACTTCCCGATTCATTTGGGAAATCTCGCTTGCCACGCTGTGGAACTGCATTAATGATCTCATGGATAATGCACCTGTATTGGGAATTTTATCCATGAGAATACCAGAACCTGAACAAATATCCAGGTCAGGAAGTCTACACAGAGCTCACACGACTAAGAGCCATGGTATGAGGTAGGGAACAGACAGCTATTATAGTGCTAACACAATTGAATAATTGATATTACCCAAAGATATCCAAAGGAAAGGACACAAAAGGGAACACACTGCTGAAGTGATTTGGAATAGATAAAATATTGGAGGAAAATTTCAAACCTCCCAGTTTGACCAGAGCAGTTTTAGCAATGGAAGCATTTATGTCCTTCAGCTTTCATTGGCATTTATCTCAGTATTTCATCAAAGTTTATCCTTTGTTGTTGTCTTTTTAAGTGCAAAGATTATTATACAGAGCCTAAAAGATGTTGTCTTTCTAACTTACAGTGAATCAAGGCTCAGTTACATCAGCTCTTTGTGTAACACAACTGTGTTTCCATTGTTCTGCTTTCAGGTTCCTTTTCACCCTCTCCTCTTTACTGATCAGGAAAACGGAATTTACAAAGAAAACTGTAGCTCTGACAGGGAGAACAAAGTTGTTAACTGACCTGAGAAATCAGATTTGTACTAATTGCATTGTTTAATCCAGCAATACTAGTGTATTCTAAAAAAGAAAAAAAAAAGCCCAAAACACCAAGAAATATTTATGTTTCTCTAGTGAAAAAAAATGTTGAAGGAAAAAGAGAGCAAATGGTCACACAGCACAAAACATGCCTGCCAGGAACACACACCTCAAAGATCCTTCTCCATCAACAGAGGAAGCATTCTCTGTATCAAATCCATGCAATAAATAAATTTTTTTATCATTTCTTCTTGATTTGTTGCTTCAATTAATGCTATTTTAACTCTCCTTCTTAAAACCTTTATCAAGCTTTATGGGAATGAGGAGCTAAGGCATGGTGTTAAACATGCACAGAGACCAACTGCAGTCCTGGAGCTCAGTGACTTTTTGTATGGGCTGGCTGTGGTCTGCTAACAGCAGCTGCAGGGGGAGCAGCATGTGGCCTCCTCCATCCCCCTTCCCATGAACTTTATGCCATACAGACAAACAGAGGGGGATGGAGACACTTCCTACTGGGATTACTGCAGACTCCTGCTAGCCTGCCTCCAGCTCAGAAGGAAGTGCATCAAAATGAATGAATCAACACTCAGAAACACTCTGCCTACACAGGGAGAGAGAGCCCTAGGTGCTGAGTTAGGATATTTCTGCACAGGTCAACTCTCTTTGCAAAGCCAGCCTCAAAGATGGCATGTGATCAATTGCTCCAAAATAAATGTCACATGGGTTTTATTTATTTTCCTTGCAAGCTGTCTTGAGGGCTAGATATTCTCTTTTTCAGAAGAAAATATAGGGATAATTTCTGCATATCAAGTGCAGTGCTGTGATCAAAAGTGAGTCACAAAAGCAAGTGAGATCCTTGGTACCAAGATTAAGTAAGGTTTTGCCTTTCCTCTCACAGGTAAATGGTGCAATGACTAATGTAGTGTCAGGATCTTCAAACTCCAGTTAAACAGTCCTGTCTTTGAGGAGCCCTTGGGGGCAGGTTTGATTCTTGGCTTCAGCCAAGTAAATTGCAGTATACTTCCCAATGTCAGTGGCTAATCTGCCCAAAGGACATCAGATTTACACCAAGATTCGTCCCATTTCAACCTGTCAGCTCAGAATCTGGCCTTGCATTTTGCCTGCTGCCATCATCAATCCCATTGATTCATTTTGCTGATACTGATACTGATGGAGTGGCTGTCACAGGGAGCAGCAGTCTGCAATGATAAAATCAAAGCAAAGATCTCCAAGCACAAGGAAGTTATGAAGCTGCAAGGGTTTATGTGTGACAGGAGGCTGCCAGAGAACCAGGATGGGTGGTTCAAATGTGTGGCTGGGATGTGCAGATCCATGCACTGCAGGAGACCTGGTGACACCCAGCACATCTCCATCACAGCACAGGGCACAGACAGAGCCCTTCGAGCAAGAAGAGGCAGGGACACCTGCCCAGCACTGAGTACCTGGCCCAGCACTGCCCCACTCTGCTGGCTGAGGGCCAAAGGGGTGCTGCAGTGCTGTCACAGCCTTGCACCCTCCTCAGAGGGTTTCTCTCAGAGCTGAGGTATGCACAGCCAGCTCCAGTCTCTCTGCTGGAGTGTGGAGATGTGCTCAAAGGTGTCAGTGATGCCTCCTTGCCTCTCCATGTCTCAGGGGTGCAGCTGTCTCATTGTATCAGTATATGAAAGCTGTGCTGACATTTCAGCCTCCCCTCTGGGATCACTTAGGACATTGACCATGAATTCAGCAGAAATGGCTCCTGGTCCCACTTCCACAGTGGGCAATACCACTTCACCCCCAAGAGACAGGTGAAGAAGAAATAATCCCTTAGAGTGAGGTCAAAAGGCTAAGGAAAACTCCAAGCAAACAGGGATAGCTTTTACAGATTCAATATGCAGATCTTGACAAAGCAACAGGTAATCCTTTTTTCATTTATGTCTGGTTGTAAATATTTTATTGGCTCTTCTCTCACTGCTGAGTTGCTGTAATGGCATTAATTTCAGCAAAGGCCTGAGCTGCTGTAAATCAAGCCGAGTTTTTTACTCACCATGGTCATGGGCAAACACAAACAAGTTGAGTCCTGTCAGCTTCTGGGCCAAGTCATCGTAGCGGCCGCAGTGCTCCCCAGCGCCGTGGGCGATGAACACCAGGGCCCTGAGAGGAGCATCAATGTACAAATCATTAACGTGGCAACCACCCTGCAAACACTGCAGAGCTGCAAGGGAAACCATTCAATTCAGCAACAGCATTTCAGACATCAGCAAACATCAAGCAGGTAAAGAATTTGCAGAGTTTGAATACAGGGGAAACCGCTGTTACCCTGGCCTGCCATCGACCTGGCCTTCAACAGGTTGTTGTAGGATGGGTTCCAGGGAAGGCAACTGCTCATGGGCCAGAGCCACCATGGTCTGCTGCAAGTTCTAGATGCAGGTGGGCATCAGCATCAGTCCCTGAGCTGGATATCTCCATGGGCTTGAGGCTCTATATGGCTCCTCCAGTGTAAGTGGTGCCATCTGTTTATTTTGGGACTGATATCTCTCTGTGATTCAAATACCAACACTGTCCTTAACTTTATAACTTCAAACATTGTCTGATGCTCCAGAACACTCTAAGGTGGAATTTCAGCCAAAGAATAGGTTTCCAGCACTTTGCTTGGAGTTTGGAATTTTATCTTTTGACCCAATTATGGTAATTTTACCATTCCAGTTTCTGCCCCAAAACAGTTGCTTCACTTCTATGATTAAAGTGACTCTTACATAGCCACTGTGCAGACAGAGATAATAAAAAACTAGTCTAACAGACACTTATTTTTGCAAATACTTATATTTGAATATTCCAGTTTTATGAATAATACCTCACTTTTACTGGAATGTCATCAAATGGAAGTGGCTGAACTTGAACCTCCCCAGTATTTCTGCTAGATACAATTAGTATAGACTTGGGCTAGAACTATAGCAGAAATAGCTATGAGATTACAGAAGTTCTGCTGGATTTGACAGGTGACTATTTTAAATCCAGTTTTAGCAACATAAACATAACTTGTTTGTTTAAAAGGACCATTTGTCCTTGCAACATCAGCAACCACAAAACCATTTGAAAACTACAAGTTTGGCATTTTCAGTACATGAACAGTGAAATATTACAAGAACTGACAACATAAAACAATGACAGCAGTTAACAGCTAGGGAATTCCTCAACTTCATCTTAATTGAGGCTTTGAATACCTTTTTAGACAGTGTATTCACAGCAATGTACTGCTTAGGTCTTAAATATATTTAAACTTAACATGTTGGATGATGTAGAAACTCCTGTCCTAGCTCTTTAATTAGCACTTGCTTTAAAGCATTTGCCCAGCTGGACAATTCAAAAGCACATCCATCCAGACCAGAAGGACTGTGCAGAGTCCACTGCAAACACAAAAGCAACAAGGCAAAGATGCTCTGGTATCTGTCTAACACCAATTAGCAAGGGTGACATTAGGTCATGTACCATATTTAACTTGCTGTGCCTTACAAATCCTCTTTAGTGCCACTGAAGGTTGCAAAACAATCCGTGTGGAGCAGTCATTCCTTCCTTTGTCATTGTCCCTGATCAATTGATTTGTCAAGTTATCAATGCACCTGGCAGACAGACTGGTTTTTGGAGTGCAGGATCTATTATTATACCTCCAAATACTGAAGAAAGTGAGACATTGCTTACTCAGTGGAGAATATTAACTTTCTTCCTGTGGGCCCATTGCCCTGATATTCAACAGACTCAGCCAGGCTAGGTCTCTCTGCCACACCTCCTACTCCCACACCTCCTACTACCCTCAAGCTTGACAGCTTCCTTGCTCAATGTCTTACTTAAGCTCTTTAGGGGACCTATATTTGTTTCTGCTGACTAGGCACAGAGGTAAAGGTGCACCTTGGCTGACTGAATAAAGCCCTTCATTTCTCAGAGAAATATTATTTGAATTACTGCACTAAATGGCACTAAGTGAATGAAACCTAATGGGAAGCTGGCAAAGAGATCTCTTCCAGGAAATTCTTAGTTCTTCATCCCTGTGACAGCAAAGCCCTTGTTTTGCTTTTATTCACAATGATGCAGCATCCTTCTAGATGCTAGGAGCCCTCACTTTATGTGAAACCAAGTGATAAAGATAAAAACCCAAAGCTTCAGAGAGGCAAGGTGTTCCTGTGACCTTTCCTTCCACCTGGAACACAATTTCCAGGTGTCACAGAACTGAGCCTTTGCACACCACAGGGAACAGACCTGGGTTATTATTTGTCTGCAAAATGTTGAATAAAACCCCTGAGCCTGTTTGTGCCTTAAGAGTTCTAATGACAGTAGCTGCTGAAAGGACTTAGATACTTTTGAAAGTTTTGTCCTGGCAATAATCATAAACAAAGCATAAAATTTCCAATTTGTTACACTGAAACAAAGTCAGCCTGTCCTGTTGTTCAATAAAAAGTGAGAGTGGCTTTACTGACTCAAAACTAGGTCACATCTACACAGCTCTTTAGCTCCAGCTTTCAGGTCTAAGCACAAGGGCCACATATTGAACACAACCTTCAAAAATTGAAATTAGTATGAGTATCATCTGAACAAGGATTGAAGGATTTGGCTCTTTCAGTTAATCTCTAATTTTCCATTACAAAGTAAGTCTAGATTTGGCAAATAACACCTGAAGGCAGTGTAACAAATACGATTTAACATATTTTCACTAGCAAGCTGCCAGGAAAATACAACAAACTATTAGATTGATTGACAGCAATTCTTTGCTGTATGTAAACATTTTTGCAGATATCCCTGCTCTTAAGTCACAGTCTTCTCCTTCCTTACCACAATGGCTGGAATAACAGATTATCAGAGATTGCTTTCAACAGAGTCATTTAAAATTAATATGGATCCTGCAGTGCTTGTGGTTTTGCAGGGCTGCAGTGCCTCTCTGTGCAGTCTCAATGAGAATTTTGTTCAAAAAAGGGGAGAAATGTCTTCACGTCCAGCTCTTGCAGTTGTGCTGCTGAAATCCTTGCAAATTTGCAGGTAGCAAACATTGTGCACAGCCTGCAAAGCTCTGTGCCAAGTGACCTGTGCCTGGATCCCTGCTGGTTCCAGTGTCTCTGACCACAGGCACAGACAGCTGCTGGTGTATCTCTGGGTACTTCAGCTGGTTTTGGCTGGTGGAACACCTCGGAATAGCCGGGCTCTGGCACCTGCCCAGGGCAGCAGCTCCTCCCGGAGCAGCAGCTGGGCTGGTCTGAGCACCAAGGCAAGGTGCGAGCGGGGCGGGATGGGTCCCACGCCCCTGCGCTCACCCGGCTCTGCAACAGCGATTACGGGCTCTTAGAGGAAAGCACTTTATTGACTGCTGCTTGCAAAAGCAACAGATGGTTTTTGCAGATTCCTGCCCTTCCCATGGCCTTTATCACCTCCTCCTCCTCCTGCCCCCTCCCTACTGCAGGTTTCTGCCTCCTGGTACTGCACAGCTTGGCAAACGCTTGCTTATTGCAACAAGAAATAAGAAGAATATTTGTCTTTAACCTTTAAATCAACTACTGGCTGTGTTTAGTTCTCTTCCTTGATGAGGTTCTATGCACCCGTGACCTGTCCCTGCTCCCACATCTGCCCTGACTGCTATCAGTCCCTCCTATATTGCAGCTGCAGCCTGTTCAGCTTTGTCTAACACAGCAATGCCACACCTGCAGTTAACACAAAGCACCTGCAAACACCCCCGTCCTTTATTAGGGAGGGTGGAAATTGTGGAGGCCAGGCTGTAACATAGTCAGTAAGCACAAACCCACATGAACACCTTGTTCCCTTCTGTCCTGCCTCTTGGAGAGGTCACCACCTGATCCAAGCTTTAGTTGTGTCCAAGCCATCCCTATTTCTCACTGTAGCTTCACATCAACTAATACTTCTCCTCTTGTGTGGGCAGCAGGTTTGGAGGGGAGGGTGATGCTTTAGATTGCAGTTCTAGGTAGAAAGGCAGTACCTGGTTTAAAGGTTCTCACTTTCTGTTTTGCTGTCTTTTTTGACAATGGTTCAGAGATACAATTCCACAGTCAACTGGAGGAGAACAATTCTAGGGAAAATAAATTGCAGCACTGGACTTACACACATGAGCAAAAGCCCTCTCAAACCAAGACTGTTAGAAGAAAAATACATTGAAAGCACACCCAGAAAGTTGCTGTGCTGTGACACTGAAAATGCAGGCCTGAAACGCCACTCAGGGCTTGGGTCCTGCTGGGCATAAGACCCAGGTTATTGCTTTGCTTTGAACAAAATTCATGTTGAAACAGAGCTAGACAAAGAAGGTTGCAAGCAGGTTGGTGTGAATTTAACATCTTGTGTCCTCTGGGGACAAAGCCACTTCTCTGGGACCCCATGCATGCTCTTTTATTGCCAGAAAATAACCCAAAACATTAGGGTTGAACGAAAGAGCGGAAGACAAGCTTCCTATGACTGCATATATGAAAAATGCAATCTTTTCCACCCCATTCAATAGCATCCCTCTTCAGAAAAATATTTAAGTACTTGCCTTAACCTCAGGAAACTTTCTTCAACACATGAAAGTCAAGTACAGGATGAAAGTAAAAAAAGGATTTAAAAATGCTGTCCAGAATAAGGACTGATTTAATCACACACACAGAAGTGATTTCCTGAATCAAGCCCTCACAACTTAAGCTAATACCATGTTATTCTATGTTAGGCAACTGTGCTTTTCGTTTGGTCTTATGGATGCTGTTACCAGAACCAGATCAGCTTTAACAAAGAACATCTGACTTGCACAGTTTTGAATTCCAGACACTAAATTCCTAAAGTAATTTTTAAAAACAAACTGACAGGAAAGCTCTGAGCCAGCTGAGCTGCCAGAAAAATGACTGGCTTAAGTACTACATTTTGTTGTGTTGTTTGAGCTGATTTATCAGTTCCTTTGTAGCTGAACAATTCACTTTTATTTACCAAAAGCTGGTGACATTTTTGGACAAGCAAGTGGATAGTCACTCACAGATCTTTTGGTGTGTATGTTATGTGTGTATTTTGCTTCCAAAGTATATTATAATGGAAAGTCTCTGGAAGGTGTTTATTCTTGTGTTAGCTGGGTGAATGGGCCTCACTATGAGGATTAGCTATCTATCATATAATAAAATTTGTTGAGGTTTAAGTGT